CACTTCTCCCTCTCCCCCTCCCCCTGCTTGCATTCCTGCTCTCATTGTCTCTCTCTCTGTCAAATAAATAAATAAAATCTTTAAAAAAAAAAAGAGTCAGATGCTTAACTGACTGAGCCACCCAGGCACCCCTCTAACTGATTTATTTTTATCATAGATGAGTATTAATACAGGTCCATAAATGTTGACGATTGAATTGTAGATCCAGAAAATGCTGACTTTTAAAAATTTCTGGACAGCTTTTTTTTTTTTTTTTTTTCATATTTTGGTGGAACAAATTCCTGTCTTAAACTCTGAATCAATCTGTCACTGGAAATAATGCATAGTGATTATTAAGAAAGAAAAATTTAACTCCTCATTTCTCTGATTCTTCGAAAAAGTCATTTTACTGTGAAATAATTATACATGAAACTAATTTCATGTGTTTTGTTCCTCTGTTCTTAATGTTTGGTGCATGATCAAACAACAACAACAACAAAAAAAAACCATCAAAAATAAACCTTCACGTTCTTTTAATAGAATGTATATGTTGTTAGAAAAAAACAAAATATAGCCTAATATGTTTTGTACTAAGTTTCTGTTTATCATTCCCTGGCTAGTAAAAGTCAAAGTATTATTTTGGATATTCTTTTAGCAACCAAAGGTAAATGCAGACATAACTTTGCATCTTGTTAGAAAATTTAACTTTTGTAGGTGATTTTACCAAACAGGTATGCAGTTATATGTTCCAGTTTGTCTAGGACAGTTACAGTATCTACCTGTTGTCCTGGAATAATTATTAATAATATAATTTCATTTTCACAAGAGTCCCAGTTTGGACAATAAATTATACGGCCATCCAAATAATTATTCCTGCTGAGTATTAATTTTCTTAGATAAGATGCCACGTAGTGATAGTGCTTCCATATCAAGCTATAACTATTATCCTTTTTAGTTACAAAATCAGTTTGTAAAGGGTGTGTGTGTGTGTATAATATAGCTGTGGGTATGTAGATACCTATATAGTATATACAAAAAGCTATTTTGTGCTTTAGGCAACTTTTTTTTTTTTAAGATTTTACTTATTTTATTTGAGAGAGAGAGAGAGCAGGGGAAGGAGCAGTGGGGAAGGGAGAGGGAGAGAATCTCCAACAGACTCTGCACTGAGCGCAGAGCCCAATACGGGTCTTGATCTCATGACCCTGAGATCATGACCTGAGCCAAAACCAAGAGGTGGTTGCTTAACTGACTGAGCCACCCAGGTGCTCCTACTTTTTAGGGTCTTAAAAAAATTCAAATTTAGTCCATTGATAATTTAACAAGTATTTTCCCATCCATGAATCACATTAAAAAACAAAACAAAAAACCCTAAGTAAATCTTTTACACCACCAAATTAAGATACATTGTTATTTAATTTGATACCATGTAGTTTCCCTGATATATGCCCTCTGTTCCCTGTCCAACTGGATCCCACATTTTTATCTATCTAGGATAGGGTCACAGCCAAACTTGGCAGAAATTGATATGTCTAAGCTATGTGCTTTGACCCTTCATAAAAACAAATGATTGGGGGGCACCTGAGTTGCTCAGTCGTTAAGTGTCTGCTTTCGGCTCAGGTCATGATCCTAGGGTCCTGGGATCGAGTCCCACATCAGGCTTCCCTGCTCATCGGTAAGCCTGTTCTCCCTCTCCCACTCCCCCTGCTTGTGTTCCCTCTCTTGCTGTGTCTCTCTCTGTGTCAAATAAATAAATAAAATCTTAAAAAAAAAAAAAAGACTGGTTATCTGATGTTTATCAGGCCTTTTCTCCTCATAATGTAAATATGAATAAATATAAATTGACTCTCTGATCACAAAGATTCTAGGGATAAGACACTGCTTTATATTTGAAAATTTAAACATTGTTATTAGAATCTTATGAACTGAAATTTTCTATCCGCTTTCTTGGGAGATGATGTTGGGAGTTTTTGTGTGTGTGTATGGTAAAATATACATAACATAAAATTTACCACCCTAACCATTTTTAGGTATACGGGGATAATGTTCATTGAAAGTATAATTTGTATTAATAATAGCTTTATTGAACATATATTTAGGAATACTAAATTTTATTCTTGTTTTAGACAATCCGCCATTATCTGGATCCTTTGTGGCACCAGCTTGGAGCCAAGACTAAGTCCTTGGTTCAGGACTTGAAGATATTACGAACTTTGCTGCAATATCTCTCTCAGTATGATTGTATCACATTCCTTAATCTTCTGGAATCTCTGAGAGCAACAGAGAAGGCTTTTGGTCAGAATTCAGGTGGGAGATAAAAATACTAATATTATTATGGGAGCTGATTTGAATAAAGTGTTGGATTTTGTTGGGGAATCAGATGTAGGGAGTGCTATATTCAACTATGTGGTATACTAAGATTTCAAATTACATTTTATGTTCATAGCACAAGGATGTAGGTTTTATTGATAGCTAATGTTTCCACCCACTCAACTTCTGTTCTGTATAATAATAAATATTCATATCATTCCAGGCGACTTTATTTCTAGAAAAGACTCTGTATATTACAGGCAGCCCCCAACTTAGAAATAGGTTGTGTTCTGGAAGTTTAGTTGTTAAGAACTTCAAATTCATTTTCTCCAAAGAAATGGCAAGGCAGTTTAGGGTTTCATCAGCCAGAGTGCTGAATACTGAGGAGGTTTGTAGGGAAACATACATATACAACTGGCCACCATCTTGTTTGTCTACCAACCACATCTGCCCCCACTGTCGTGGCCTCTGTCACTGGCTAGACCACTGATTTTCAAAGTGTAGTCCATGGGCCCCTGAGGCCCAGATTTAATACAATTAATAATTTTTACCTCTTCCCCAGGGACATTCTTAAGTAATAAACTACAAATGCATGACAATGAAGAATACACTGACCGCTGGTCACTTTGGTTCCACTGCCTTGATTACGCTCAGGCACCAGCACTGTTACCCAGCAATGCTTTTGCACCATCACTGGAAATGTCAGCACAGTGGGGGGAAAATCAAATAATGAGTTAATATTCTTATGAGAGTAGCTTTGAGGTCCAGACTCCCTGAAAACATCTCAGTGACCCCCAGACATCAGTAGGCCACACTTTGAAAACCACTGGTCTAACCAAACAGTGATGGAGGCCACAGTAAGGGGGAAGATGTGGTTCAGAGGAGAACAAGATGGCGGACAGTTGTCCTTCTAGGGCATGTGACCATCAGAGACTCTTTAAAATTCATCCTAAATTGAAGGCTTTTTTTTTTTTTTTTTAACTTTTCCTATTAGGTTGGCTGTTTCTTGACTCTAGCACCTCAATGTTTGTAAATGCTCGAGCAAGGGTTTACCATCTTCCAGATGCCAAAATGAACAAAAAAGGCAAAATGTCTGAAAAAACGGAGATGAAAGAAGAGCAAGGTATCTTGTAGGCTTGATCTTTAACTGTGTCCTTTATTTAAGTATTTGGTGTGGAAATTCTTATCAAGTCTATATATTAATCCTAAATATCCTTCAGCCATGTGAAAAACGTGTGCCCGTATGTTAAATATATGTTACATGCAATGCATGTTAAAAAGTATCCAGCTGGCAAGTCTTAGAATCCATTGTCAGGGGATTCCAAATAATAGGTGCCAAGTGTCAGTCAGGAGTATTATCACCGCTACATAAGAGCTACGGATTGATTTTTTTTTTTTTTAACTTCAGAATAATAACTACTTTTGGCACCTTAAAGTCTTAACAGAATGTTGAACATTCCTTTTAGCTTTAAAAAAATATATACTAGAATGAGGCAAGTATGGATTTTATTCCAACCCTTATCTAGTAGATATAATAAATATCTGGTTTTTTAAGGCATGGGATAGGGTTGATGCTGACCTTCTGCCTCATTCAAAGGTCTAGTTCAGAACTTAAATATGTTAGTGATGTGTTTGAGTACTAACAGAAACATTTGATTGCTGTCTACTTGTATCCCATCTTCAGGATTGTGAAAGTCAGGGGGATTTTAGAAATAATAAATACTATTACTCTGTACTGATTCTTTCATTTTAAATAGCAGCTTATATCTAGCATCACAATTGACAACAACACAGACTCTTCTCTAATTCGTGACCGTGCATGTGACTTGTTCTCAGGGCACTGTGAAACCTCTATTAACGTTGGTCTGGAGTGTGTTTCATTTAGACCTTAATAAATAGACCTTTTTCAAGAAAGAAGATTCTATCTGGCCTCCGGAAAGAGGCTCAAAGGAAGGGGCTTTTGGAATGATGCTTGTGTCATCTGTTGTTTTAAAAGGCTGTGAAATACTTTATGGATAAATGTTATCACGTAGAATGAGGTTATCCTTTTATTTCTGTACAGAAACAAAAAAGGAATTGGTCCTAGAAAGCAACCCAAAGTGGGAAGCATTAACCGAAGTACTGAAAGAAATTGAGGCAGAAAATAAAGAGAGCGAAGCCCTTGGTGGTCCAGGTAGGAGAAAAGAGATGGTGACATTTGCTTTCAAAGTGGAGCAAATGAGTCTTCTTTGTTAGTTCTTTAAAAATAACTTACTATGATTTTATTTATAAAATGTAAAAGAATAAATGCCAGAGGAACACTGAAATCCTAGTGGCAGCCTCCTTTTCTATTCATTCGATGTGATTTTCTCCAGGTTGAATCCTTGTATATTCATGAAAGCAGGTTTTTTTGCTGGTTGCCTTCTCAGGACTTCTATTTAAAGAGGCAGCTTATCTCCACCTACATGTTCACCAGGATTTCAATCTGGAATCCCCAAGGAGAAAGCTAATGGGCTTGCTTTATTCTCAGCAAGCATCTTTCCAGAAAAGTCTTCACTGTTCTATGGAGCAACATTGACCTAGCCCACCACCACCACCAAAAAATTCCAGATTTCAGGGCTGCTGTCTTCAAACACAAGTATACTAGTAGATTAGCATGGTAGACCAAACCTGAACTACATTTAAAAAAATAAAACCCATTATAAAATAAAACTAGATTAAAAAAAAATCTATTGAGACTTTGAACTCCTACAAATCAGTAAACGCAAGCGCATAATTCTTATCTTAGTAAATGTGCTGGTGATGTTATCCAAGAACCTACAGTACTGTGATTAAAGACCCAAAGTCATGCATGCTCACTTAGAAAAATTGAAAAGTATGAAGAAAAAAGAGAAGGGGAAAAAAATGTCCAGGAGTCACACTGGCATATTTGCTTCCAGGGTTTCTTTTATGTATTTTCTTTCTCACATTGTTAAGGTCACAGTGCAGATACAATTTCTGGATATATAATTAGCAAGTCAAATGATAATGTTCTTGAGACATTTGACTTGTACAAAATTTTTCTGAATTTTCATTTCTTTTAGCAGCATAAAAGCTCATCACTTTTGTTTTTTAGATTTATTTAATTTATTTATTAGAGAGATAGAGCAGGTGAGGGCAGGAGCAGAGGATGAGGGGGAGAGATCCCAAGCAGACTCCATGCTGAGTGCGGAGCCCAACATGAGGTCCTATCCCACGACCCTGAGACCATGACCTGAGCCGAAATCAAGAGTTAGACACAACCAGCTGAGCCACTCAGGCGCCCCAGAGCTCCTCTCTTTTTCACCTAGCTGACAATGACTGGAGATTCTATATATATTCGTTTGTATGTATACCTATATATGTGTAACGGTTTTATCAATTTGATTGGAGAAAAATGTTACTCATTTGAAATTTGGTGCTAGGTAAGCTCACTGTTTTCTTAAATGTTTTTCCTCTTTTGTGAATTGTCTTTTTTTTTCTTTGCCAATTTAGACTATGTCCACAGTTGGTATTGGCTTTTTATATATTAAAGATATCATCATTTATGATAGTTGTTTTGTAAAGTTGTTTTTTTTCTTTAGCTTTCTTAATGCACAGTTTTTTAGATTATAGATACGAGTCTTCTCTGAGATTTCTTCCATTGCTTTTAAGCCTAGAAAATCATCTCCATCCAGAGAGATGGAGAATAGTCACCTTTTTTTTTATGATTTAATATTTAACATTTGACTCTGTAATCCATTTGGAATTTATTTTGGCATATAAAATCCTCTGGAAAATTATTAATTAAAAAGAGCTTCCGTAAAGCCTCCATTACACCGTGGCTACGCTTTCGTAAGACTAAATGTTTCTGGCTCCAACTTTACTCAAAAGATTTAACTAATCCTGTCAGAGAGGGAAAGCATTTGATAAGCATCTGAGGCCCTTTAAACAAATTGTGAATATTGTACCCTTAGCGCCGGGGGTAAGATGTGTCTTCTTTGTGGAGGGGAAGAGGCGACGGGGCAGGCAGAGAGCAGGGGGACACATGAGGTCACAGTAACATAACGCTGTTTCATAATTTTAGGTCAAGTACTTATTTGTGCAAGCGATGACCGAACATGTTCCCAGCTGAGAGAGTACATCACTATGGGAGCAGAGGCCTTCTTGCTGAGGCTCTACAGGAAAACCTTTGAGAAGGATAGCAAAGCCGAAGAAGTGTGGATGAAATTTAGACGTGAGGACAGTCCAAAGAGAATGGCAAAATCTAACAAAAGGCCTAAAGGCCCCCCAAACAAACAAAGGGCTGCCACCAAAGAAAGGACTCTGAAAAAGAAAAAGCGAAGGTTAACCTTAACTCAGATGATGGGAAAGTCTGAAGAACCTGAAGAGGCAGGAGATGTCAAGGAAGGCTATCCTAGAGACACAGGCAGTAGCCCAGAAAGCTCCTTAGAAGAAATTAAGCACGAGGAATTTGACTTAAACTTGTCCTCTGATGCCGCATATGGAATCCTGAAAGACCCACTCACCATCCTCCATCCGCTCCTGGGCTGTAGTGACCCCTATGCTCTGACGAGGGTGCTCCATGAAGTGGAACCAAGATACGTGGTTCTGTACGATGCGGAACTGACGTTCGTTCGCCAGCTTGAAATTTACAGGGCGAGCAGGCCCGGGAAGCCTCTGAGGCAAGTTATAAAGAATATGAGCTGTTTCTTCTCTCTTTTTTTTTTTTTTTTTGTGTGTGTGTATATATCTACATAGAGAGAGAGAGATTTTTTTTTTTTAGCTGAAGTACAGTTGACATACATTAAATTAGTTTCAGGTGTACAATGTCATGATTCAACCATTCTATACATTACAAAATGCTTACCATGATAAGTATATTACAATATTATTGATTATATTCCCTATGTTGTTCTTTTCATCCCCGTGGCTTATTTATTTTTTTAAGCTGTACCTCTTCATCCCTTTCACCCATTTTGCTCATTCTCCCTACTCCCACCCCCCTTTGGCAACCATCATTGTGTTCTCTATTTGAGTCTGTTTCTCTCTTGTTGTTGTTTGTTCATTTTGTTTTTTTTAGATTCCACATATAAGTGAAATCATATGGTATTTATTTGTCAATCTCCATCTGGCTTATCTCACTTAGCTTACTACCCTCTCAGTCCATCCATGTTGTGGCCAATGGCAAGATTTCACTCTTTTTTATGGCTCAGTAATACTCCATTGAGCTGCTTCTTTTAAATGCTTCAATTTCACGGTTCTTTAGGCTTTAACACAGACACTTTACCAGTTGCACATGGATTTTCTTTAACATTCTGTTGTTAACGATGTAGGTTAAATTTATGAATCCTTCTTTGGCATCCTGGTCAACCTGGGAAGTTTGCATAGGAAGGATGTCAGATGTTGTAGTAGAACAACAAATCTAGGGAACTATCTGTGTTCTGGTTACTTGCTGTTCTGTTGTTCTATACTGTATCCTTTCTGCATTGGTTGTAGCTTATGGGGTGCTGTATCTGAACAAGTCTAGGAAATGTATAATATCCTAACTTGTACCAAAATGTACTATAACTATGACTCAGCTAAATGGCTTTGATCTTCTAAAATGTCATTCTTATAAATTTCAAGAAGTGACTCTAAATTACATCCACATAAAATGAGAAGGTATTTGGGGAATTATTGTACCAAGTTTTCTTGAGTTTCAAGAAATAGCAGATAAAGAATCTACAGAAATATCAGATGAGAAAATGATGCCTCTCAAAGAATATAGTGTTCTGGGTCTCCAATTATCTGAGGGAAATAAACAGCAAAATTAATATCCTGAACTCAGTCTGAACCAAAAACAGAGCCAAAAGAAACCTTCCTAGCAGTTTAATGCAGCCTTCCAGAGCAGAGATGAATGGAGCAGGTGGGTCAGAAATAACACAGGATGAAGAGATTAAACGAAGCTGGTCAAAGAATTATAGGCTGGTAAATTTTTCAGACTTTGCTACTGATCAGCTTTGTAGATCACTTGTGTGCTCCCAAGTTCTTTGTTGCCTGAGAATGGAATAGTGTGATATTTGGAAACAAAATGTCAGAGCCGGAAGGGACCTTGGAGTTCAATTGCTCCCTGCGTTGGTGGGAAACTGGGTCCCAGTAATAACGAATGACTTGCCCTTGGCCACATAGCACTTGTGGGGGAGAGCTGAGGTCTCTGGATTCATTGTCCGATGGTTTTTTTCTCGGTCCACACTTCAAGGAAATATATCCTAGGAGCATAAAGTCCAGAAGAAATGTCAAAGGCTAAAAAAGGAAAAACCTCTGATAGAAGGTAAGGAAGAGAGTCAGAGGAGGTGCTTAATTCAGCCTTTGAGCAACAAATAAGAAAGAAAAGCAGTCCTTCCTAGGAGAAAGTAATATACCAAATTATTTTCTCGAGCCCGATATCACCCATGTGTCTTCTGCGTCTGTGTTTATATAACATGTGTGATGACTTGGTTCTGTGAAGACACTGATAAAAAAGAGCCGAGAAAGAGATAAAGGTCATATAGATTTCATTTGTTTATTTCTCACTAACGTGAACTTTCACAAGCTGCGTTTTATAACTACTATCCAACTTTGCAAATGATTGTTTGGCAGAGGTGTAAAGAAAAAATTGAAAAAAGAGAAGCTGCTGAGATTTTGTGTTTTCTGATTTGTTTATAGTTATGAAGCAAGGATTATTCTATCCCTCTAGTTATATTTCAGTGTTTACCTAAACTCTGTTCCTCCTTTCGGTGAAGGGGAAAAACGTGGTAATGAGACTTTTACCAGGTGGAGTTTAGGCAGCTTAATTTTAGGTACGTGATTAATGGAGCCTTTTATTCTTGGTCAAATATTTATTATTTGAGCAGTTTAGATTGCTCATTTCAAATGCTACGCTCTTCCTTTCAGGGATTAAAAATTACATTTTTACAGCCTAAAAGAGTTCTGTTTTAACTGGCAGGGTCTACTTTCTTATATATGGAGGTTCAACCGAGGAACAGCGCTATCTCACTGCTTTGCGGAAAGAAAAGGAAGCTTTTGAGAAACTCATAAGGTAAAAGATAGAGGCCTTTTAAGATCTAGAGGCTTCTCTGGGTGGGGGCATATCTGATTGCCCTCAGGAAAGATGGAGGGAGGAAGAAGTTGGGAGCATCACCTCAAGATAAACCTGTGGTGTGATTCATCCCTGGGGTATGTGCACATTTCTTGTCTCCTCCCTCTCTTTTCCACCCATTTCCAGTTGCCTTTCAGTGGTTTAACAGGATATTGGAAACGTGGCGAGAGCTGGTTTTCTGCTTGTAAAGACATGTAACATAAAACACCAAAATTCAGCTCAACCACTGCTTTTCTAAGATACATGTTCTTAGATCTCCCCACCCAGCCCCCACCCCCCCACACAAGCTTTCTCCCTTCCCTTGGAATTATGACTTATTTTCTCCTGGTGAAATTTCCATTGTCTGTGGGTGGGTGACCGCCTTTACCATTTGCTGGGAAATGCTTTTACAACCGAGTCAGTTCAGATCACCAGCAGTAGAATCACTCTGGGAAAATATTTTTTTTGAAGGTGTGATGTTTATCTGAACATACGTGTACTGTTTTAGGATGAGTGTCTGGTAATGTTCCAAATCCAAATAGAAAATGCTTTCCAGTGTAACATCCGGAAAATGTTCTAAGTGATATGTGCACAGACTAGATGGCCACCTTTTACCCACCACAGGTGTTTGAGAAATCTGATAACCTTGTACCAGGGCTGTTGTCAAGGAGATGGCAGCTTGGTGAGGGAAGATGGGTCACATGATCTCTAAGGAGCCTCAAAAGACAGGGCAGGGGCTAGATGGGGCATCCTTGAGCTGAGCCAGAGAAAAGGGTAGACCAGAGGACACCATGGCTTGGACTGACCAATCTTCCAAGCCACAGATATTGGTAATGCATCAGTGGCAAGTGGCAATGAGAGGGCAGAAATCATTTTTAGTGGCTGTTAGCATGCCAGGGCTCTACACAGAATTTCAAAATGAACAACCTTCCTCCAACACGGACTATGGGCTCTCAGTGTACACCTAAAATCTCCCTGTACCCCGGTCCATCCAGGGCATGCATTCCCAGGTGCCTCCTGAATCAGGGCCACTGAGTCCCTGTGGAGCGGCTCAGCATGTTACATGGGCAGAACCCCACCCCGCCATATCCTTTGTGAGTACCACGTGCCTTGGCCACAGATTCTTCCAGCTTCTGGTCAGTCCTTTCAGCCTATGAAAATGTTTTCTGTTAACGTGCTCTATGGGATGGTTTATATGGTATATGTGTGTATGTATGGGGTTTTCTTTTTTAAGATTTTACTTATTTATTAGAGAGCATGAGCGGGGGGGTGGGGGTAGGGCAGGAGAGAGAGAAGCAGACTCCCCAGTGAGCAGGGAGCCCGATGTGGGGCTCGATCCCAGGACCTTGGGATCATGACCTGAACCAAAGGCAGACGCTTAACCGAACTGCTTAAAATAAATAAAATATTTCAGAAAGTGTGATAACCAACCAGTTGTTAAACAGCTGGCCTCTTCTTGTCCGAAGCTTTTAGTGCTTCTCTGTGTCTTCTAGACCGTCACTCCCCCAAGACTCAAAACAGTCAACAGATGTTTACTGGGCATCTCTGAGGCACCAAGCCCTGTGCTGACAGTAAAATGCTGTAGTCACAGTGGTGCTGGAGGTCCCTCCCCTCCTCGGGCTCATCCCCTAGTGGAAAAGACGAACATTAGGTGATGATGAATACTACACTAACTAGACATGTACAGAATCTGGCTGCAAAGGTGAAGGAATGGGGTGCGCTAGCACAGGTCAGACCTGGCCCGGGGCGGGGACCCGGGTGCCTTCACAGAAGAAGCGACAGGTACACAACGCATGAGGAGTGTGCGCTAGGTGCTACGTCGACAGGGCGGGAAGGGGCTTCTGTGTGTGAAAGCCCCAGGGTACCCGAAGCCCTGCTGAGGGTTCAGAACATGCCTGTAGAGACGGAAAGACAGTACTGACGCGTTCTCAGTAGGAAGACTATTTTTAGAGGCTCTCACTGGCCTCCTAACGGAGGAATGGATGGAGCAGGGAAACGAGTCCGGAGAAAAGGTGGTAGCCACGATTAGGTTGACAGGGAGAAGGGAACAGATTGAAGAAAGATGCAGGGGATGGAATCACAGAATTGGTGCTAGGGGCGCCTGGGTGGCTCAGTTGGTTAAGCGTCTGCCTTCGGCTGGGGTCGTGATCCCAGGGTCCTGGAATCGGGTGCCGTGTCAGGCTCCCTGCTCAGTGGGGAGTCTGCTTCTCCCTCTCCCTCTGCCTGCCGCTCCCCCTGCTTGTGCTCTCTCTCTGTCAAATAAATAAATAAATTCTAAAAAAAAAAAAAGAATTGGTGCTATAGGATGTGGGTCAGTATCTCCTAACCAGTCCTTCACTCTTTATAAAACATCCTCTGCCTGAGTCTTCATGAGTTAACCATCCCCGAGTTACAGATGAGTACAGAGAGCCAAGATCATTCAGATTAGGTTACTGGTGTTCATGCTGAGGGTCCCTAAGACCACCTGCCAGCTCAGTGATTCACCAGAAGGGCCCACAGGAGCCAGAAAAACCAGCAAAACTGGTATCCTCACAGTTTGGGTATATGACAGCAAAAGGACACAGATTAAAATCAGAGAAGGGTAAGAAGCATGGAGCCAAGTCCAGGAAAGCCCAAGCATAAGCTCCCAGGTGTCCTCTCCCTGTGGAGTCACACGATGTGCTTCATCCTCCCAGCCGCAGTGTGTGACAGCACATGGCGAGCGTTATCCACAGGGAAGCTTACCCAAGCCTTGGGGTCCAGCGTTTTTATTGGGGGTCAGTCACGTAGACACAGAGTACCCACATGACAGACTCCATCCCCCCAGAGCAAAAACAGGTATTCACCATAAATCAAGTTGTGCACGTAAATCATCTCATCAGACTGCTGCCATGTGGCCTCAGGCCTCAGGCATACAAAAGCCTCTTATAAGGGAGGATATTCCAAGGTCTCAGGGCTCATCTCCCTGAGGAGACTGGGCTTTTCCCGCAGGGTTGTAGCCAAGAGAGCCTGGGAAAATGTGGGGAAGAAGGCACCTGAGTAGGCAAGTTTTCATGCTCCAGGCTGCCTCTTCTGTAATGCATCAGGAACCTCATCTTTAGTAGATTGTGGCTAGTAGATTGTGGCAAGATACTGCAGACTCCGTGCCATTCCTGCTGTATACAAGTGAGTCTCCACATCGGAGGGCTCGGTGACAAGGTGTGGATAAGCCTGGCCCATACTGGAATCCACCCAGCAGAATCTGGAATACGGACTGTCTCCTGCGTTTCAGTCTACCTGATAATTTCCATATCACATTTTAATGTAATTTTATCTCTGGCTTGGTTTAATTTCCTAGCTCTCAGTGGTGACCATCTACTTATTTTAAGGTAGATCTTCCCGTATTACACAGCAATCAGATAGTTACACCATTTAGAATCTTAAGATATTTACCTTCCCAGAAAACTTGGGGAATTTGAGAAGTGTTTGTTTTGAAAAGGAAAATATATGTGAGGTGCGTTGCTGAAAGAGCATTTGCACCAAGCCTGTACTTGGAAATTTAATGTGAGAATAAGACAATGTGCTTTTGCCAGGACCTCCGTGGGTGATGTCGTAAGAATAAAAGCAGTGCTACTATTTAAAATAAACCGAAAGGAAGGAATCTGGCAAACTGGCGGTGGAAGGATAGCTTGTCTGCGCTAGATCAGTTGATTACAGATGTCAAGAGAGAAAAAAAAAAAATGATACTCATAAGTATTGATAATAAAATGCTCCCTGGGTAGAAAAATTGGCAGTAATATTCTGAGTATACATAGTTTTAGAGAGGTCACTGCTTTTCAAAGGCAGGGGTAAGGTTCTTTGGAATTTTAGTCAGAAAATGTGATCGCCAGGGCCCCCGTCTGGCTCGGTCAGTGAAGCACACAGCTCTTGGTCTTGTGTTTGTGAGTTCGAGCCCAACGTTGGGTGTAGAGGTTCCTTAAAAAATAAAAAAAGAAATATGTGATCCCAAAATGAGTTAGCATGTGGGCCAGAATACATGCCCATTGGAGGAAGACTTCTAGTTCAGCACCTCCTCCCTATATTATCATTGTTGTGGTATCAGGCTATTCAGATATCATTAAAGATCTTAAAGCAAAGATAAGAAACCTCTGTACTTTAGATTAAGTGGAAATAAGAATCTGCATTTGTAATTATCATTTTGTATCTGTCACACGGAGCGACTTGGGTAATTATGCTAAATGTTGAAAGCAAAGAACTGAATATTTATTATGATGGCAAGTTTCTGTTACATTAATTTGAGTTACCAGTTAGGGAGACTTATTATGTTCTTCACAATCCAGGCTTCATTTCAGGAGTTTATTTCTTGGATTCAATTTCCAGTTAAGTTATAACATTTCATAGTAAACTAGCTGTTTTTATATAACAATATTAATTGAAACCGTTGTGGAATCATCTGAAAGCAAATCTTTGGTTTTTCAGCATTATCATGGATAATTAGGGAATGAGGTTACCACATTATAAGAAAAGCACAGTTACAATAACAGCTAACATTTTATAATGCCTATTATGTGCCAGGCACTGTTCTGAGTACCTTCTACAGTGGATAATTCTCCTAACATGCCTCTTTTGAGGGAGGTTTTATTATTATGCCCATTTTACAGATGAAATTGAGGCACAGAGCCATTAAACTACTTGCCCAAGGCCCACACGGCCAGTCAGTGGTTTCAGATTCACGGAATAGGAATATTTTCTAACCCACTAGGCTATACAGCCACTCACAGACTACAAATAAATCAGAAAATGGGGATGCCCCCATGTGTGATATGTAGCTTAGCCAGTAAAGTAAGTGGAAATAAAGAGAAAAAAGATCCCCAATATTAATCCCAAATGTTAAAGAAAAAGAAATTGAAGAGCAATAATTTTTCTGAATAGTTTGCCCTTTGTCCTCAACGCAAGTCCAGTAGGTATCACGGAGCAGTAAGGAGTGGCTTTCGGGGCCACAGCCATTGCAAAAACTATTCCAGCAGGCCACACTTGATGCTCGTATTGAGAATCGTGAGGAAGAACGGACCTGGAACTATGCCGGCCCCATCGTGTGAACTGTTTACAAAATGCCGTACTAATAATAACTTTGTATATTGTTTCAAAGAGTATAGAATTTAAAGTTGTAATTTCTGTTCTTCAGTGGTATCTTGGAGTGGTACCCTGTTCTAAAACATCGTTTATCCAGAGGGGTTGGAAAATCGGTCCATCCGGTTTTATTTCCTGTAATTGGAAAGTCTTTGCTGTTTTAGCCCTTACTGAAATGATTAGTGAGTACTGAGGACCCGTCCGCCTTCTGCCGCACGGTACCCTGGGCTCTGTTCCTGCCGTTGGTCAGTCCCACCATTGTTTCGTGCCTGCTCATGCTCCCCGAACTCAGTGTCCCGCCCTACGAGGGCCGAGAGCCAGCCTCATACATCCCTTCTGTCCCTCCTAGACATGGCGCTTGCTGGTTCATGGACGTACTTCCCTGGTTTTGAAAAATAAGACCATGGCAAGCCTGGCTCTTTGGTTATCGAGGATATTTTCATAATTGTCGTCCCTGATTACGAGTCTTAGTTGTGGTTGTACTGTCCTGTCAGTCTACCGGATGTGGGATACCGAGCTACCTAGAAGACAGGAATCACTGTGTAACCATGTGTGTATATCAGAGCACCTAACACGGCAGGTAGGAGCACTCCAGAAAGGTTTTTAAAACAAATGCATGAGCGAGGGAATTCATGCTGCGCTATTGCCAACCGGAGATGTTGATTTTTTTGTTTAAATCTCTGTTGGGGCCTCCCACCTGGAGGTTTTTAAATCGAAGTTCCGTCATCTGTGCTTTGATTTTCTTAATCATTGATTTGTAACCATTCCTATTTATGATTTACTCTGAACGTATTAGAATATAAATTATTTAAATTATTCTTAATGCTCAATAACACGTTAGCATGTTTTTATAAAAAGTCTCAATCTCTTGGTGGCATTTTTTACCTGCTTATTTCATGTCCCAAAGTGCTTGAAGGACATAGAGAATGGAAAATAAACAGCAGCTCTTTTTCACTCTGGAAGATCGGAAGTAGCACCCAACCAAGAAATTCTTTCTCCTTCCTTTACCTGTCGCTCATTTGTGTATATTTACTGTACTTATTTATCTAACATATTTCTCATCTTGACACTCTTGTGGCCATTTTCTATGTTAGAATCTATAAAAGATTAAAATCTGGAATTTGGGAATTCGTTCAAAAAAGTGTTTAAACTATTTTCCGCCCCAGGGAGAAGGCCAGCATGGTGGTCCCTGAAGGAAGGGAAGGTAGGGACGAAGCAAATCCGGAGCTGGTCAGGGGCTCCGCGGCTGCAGGCACTCCCACCGACACCCGGAAAGCAGGTGAGACCCGCCCTGTGCCACGCATTCCCGGCGCCTGCCACGGAGGCCCTGGGGTCCTAGAGCATCTCTGCAGAGGTGGGCTTTTTCTCAACAAACTCGTAAAACTGGGTGCCGGTGCTGCCTTTCACTAACCACATGTCCCTCCCAGAGCTGTGGCTCCTCATCTGTAGAATAAGGGGGCTGTGTTGTAGGCGCCCCAACCTCGAAATCAGTCATGGTCCAGCCTTGCTTGTAAATGTGGTTGGCTGGCTGAGATTCAGAATGTACTTTTGCAAAGAAACTTTGATAAGTGGCAGTTAGGCTCTTATTTTTACCCGAAGAAGCCGCTTTACCGCAGATAGACAGGAGTTGTCTGGAGCACATCCCCACTTCTCTTCTTGCCTCCGTGTGTTGCTTCTTGGCACTTTTCCAGATCCCAGGTGCGTGGCTCCCTCCTTGCAGTGCAGTGTCTGAACCGTGGCGTGCCAGTAAGACGTGCTGAATTCCAAGTGCAGCGTGACCCAGAAGTAACCCCCCCCCACCCCCGCTTCCCGAATCCCCGTTTCCCCATGGCAGCAGCTGCGGTCAGCCAAGCGGCCTGAGGAGCGCAATACGATGGAGCTGACTTAGCCTCTGGTGGGGGCCCGGTTAAAGCCACGAGCCTCCCAAACCCGGTATACTCGGGCAAAACCTCAGAGGCTTGTTAAAGCTATGGAGCCACAGGCCTCACTCCATGGAAATTCTCATTCAGTGCATCTGAAACGGGGTCAGCACCTCAGGGCCTTCTGATGGGAGTGGTCCCTGGACTGAACTTTGGGAAACATGGCCTCAGAGCATCTAGGTCTTTTTTGAAGAAGATTCTTATTAACTCAGATAGGTTGGTGACATTTCATGCAGAATATAGAACGCCAGGCCGAATGAAGGAAGCTAGATTTGAGCATGTAGGTGCCACGCAGAATGCTATTTACAGAAGTCTGTCCTTCGGAGTTCAGCCCTCTGGGCCCTTGTCGTCATGCCCTGCGGCCGCTGTAACAACTGACCACAAACTCAGAGCCTTGAAACAGCGTATACGTTTCTTATCTTACACTTACTGTCTTAAAACTCCAAAGTCCAAACGGGTTTCACTGTGAGCTGCGCTGTGCTCCTCCTGGAGGCTCTAGAGAGGACTCCATCTCCCTGCCTTTCCCAGTTTCTAGAGGCACCTGCGCTCTTTGGCTCCTGGCCCCATCCTCCACCTTCAGAGCCGGTGGCTCTGACTCTGCCCTTCCTGCTTCCCTCCTTCACTTGTTAAGGACCTTTGGGCCCACCTGGATAATCCAGAACAATCTCCTAAATTTAATCACATTTGCAGTGTCCCTTTTGCCATGTAAAGTAACATATTTACACATTCCAGGGATTAGGACACTGGAGTCTTCAAGGGACCGTTATTCTGCGCGCGGCAGCCCCTAGTCCTCCTAAGTGTCGTCCATAAGCCAGCAGCCTTAGCGTTACCTGGGATGTCGTAAGAAACGCAGAGTCTCAGGCCCCACCCCAGACCTACTGAATACAGAACCTCCTCTAACTCGCTTCCAGGCGGTTCTGGGCACATTCAAATGTGGGAAGTTCTGGTCCACCGGCTTCTTCCATTTTCCCACGTCTAGACTCACTGGTACAGGAACTGACGGCTCCAGAATTTTTCACGACAGCTTCTAAGGCAGTTGACTCAGCAAGCGTTTTTAGGCGTCTAGTACATGCCCGACTCTGTCATAGGAATTAGGAATGCGATGGTCAGTAGAATGTGGGCAGTGAGACCATCAGGGACCGGACGTCCAGGGAGCTGCAGAGGGAAGGCGACAGCAAATGCTGGTGTTCACGAATCATCATGACTTTCCTCGCAGCTCTCTTTAGTTTAAGAGAAATCGCCTTTATGTACTCTGTAAACAAACCCTTCTGAAAACACAGAAAAATGAGGAGTAACAACATGGGGTATTATGTTACCGTGCATCACAGGTTGACAACAGAAACACAGACTGGATTTGATTTTTTATTTTTTTAAAGATTTATTTATTTATTTAGAGAGAACGAGCGAGCAGAGGGAGAGAGAGGGAGAGAAGCAGGCTCCCCGCTGAGCACGGAGCCCAACGTGGGGCTCAATCTCACAACCCCGAGATCATGACCTGAGCCAAAATCAAGTCCAGCACTTAACCAACCGAGCCACCCAGGCGCCCCAGAAACACAGATTTTAACCTTCAATTGTTCTCGTCCATCTTTGAGAGCTCTTCCTCAGGGCCATCACCTAAGATGCTGCTTTTTGTTCCCAGGTGGCCAGGAACAGAGCCGGCCGCAGCAGACTATAGTCGTGGATGTGCGTGAGTTTCGCAGTGAACTGCCGTCCCTGATCCACCGTCGGGGCATCGACATCGAACCCGTGACTCTGGAGGTCGGGGACTACATTCTGACCCCGGAAATGTGCGTGGAGCGCAAGAGCGTCAGCGATCTGATCGGCTCGTTAAGCAACGGCCGCCTGTACGGCCAGTGCGTGTCCATGTCCCGCTACTACAAGCGCCCGGTGCTGCTCATCGAGTTCGACCCCCGCCAGCCCTTCTCCCTCACGTCCCGCGGCGCGCTGCGTCAGGAGATCTGCAGCAACGACGTCAGCTCCAAACTCACGCTCCTCACGCTCCACTTCCCCAGGCTCCGCATTCTCTGGTGCCCCTCGCCCCACGCCACCGCCGAGCTGTTCGAGGAGCTGAAGCAGAACAGGCCACAGCCCGACGCGGCCACGGCCATGGCCGTCACGGCGGATTCGGAAACGCTGCCGGAGTCGGAGAAGTACAATCCCGGCCCCCAGGACTTCCTGTTAAAGATGCCGGGGGTGAACGCCAAGAACTGTCGCGCCGTGATGCAGCACGTGCGGAACATCGCGGAGCTCGCCAGCCTGTCGCAGGACAAACTGGCAGGTATTCTGGGCAACGCCGGGAATGCCAAGCAGCTCTATGACTTCATTCACACCTCTTACGCAGAGGTCGCGTCTAAGGGGAAGATGAGAAAATGAACGGTGACGGCTGTCTTCTTGTCCCGAGACCGTGCTTTCCAGCCGCTCTTTGCCGGCATTCCTGGGTCCCCATTTATCATTAGTTCCCGATTGCCTCGTCTTCCAGCCCTTAACAGCCGAGCTGTCCGCTTACTGGCTCTGCGCGCCAAAGCCAAGCCTCCGCTCCGAAGTCTAAGTTCAGGCACCGTTTTCACGGTCCCGCGCCTGCTCTCCTCCCTCCCGTCGCTGCCCAGGCCAGGGTCCGCATGCTCCGTTCTTAAGTGAGGTGGGTCCGGAGCCGGGGAGGTGTCCGCAGGTGTTTCTAGAAGGCCATTCTTGAAACAGGCAGCAATTTATGTTTCTGACACAAACCGGTAAAACACATAATCATGTTCTTACCCTCTTCAGAGGTGCCCCGGAACCCAGAGAAGGAAACCCCTCTGCCGTCCTTCCCCAGTTCTCCCACATTGTCCTCAAACACGTTCTTCCATCTTTCTGCCTCTAAGAGAAATTCCTGGGGACTCCCTGGTGCCCGCCCGTGTAAGACAGCCTCCTCAAAACCTCCCTGGTTCACTTCCTAATCCCCCGAGCATATGCGACACGTACTATGACTCGATTGTGCAAAGCCAGTAGTTTTTAGACACGAAATGAATTCCCTCTTTCCAGAAATTGATGGTGCAAGTGAAGGAGTCCTTGGAACGCTCACTTTTTCAAACATTTAACCTCCAAACTCTGAGGTCTCTAAGCCCGAAAGGCGAGTTAGAGTCTCTTAAGACTTCCTCATCCCTGAGCCTCTCTTGCCACGCCCTGAGACCACCAGCACCAGAGCTTCTCCCTGCGCAGCATAAGCTCACCCTCTGATCCCCCTTCTTCCTGTCCCTCTGCGGAGTGCCTCCTTGCATCTCTGTGAGGGTTCCCACACAAGTAATTGAGTGGCCCACCAAGTCTTTAAGATTTGGTTTTCCTTCCTGGAGTGGAGATAAAGGACTTAAAAAGTAAATGGAAGATCAATGCATAGAATATCTAAGAATTCCAGAGAAATATATACATACTTAAAAACTCACAAGTCCATCTCCTTCTCAAACCTTCCGGCTGGGTTAGATTAGCTTTTTACTGAAGTGTACATATGGGACATTCATAGCATCTTTGTGCCGTTTTTAAACTTTTATATTTCACCATTATTAAGTTAGGTCTTACTCTCCTATCTAGTAATGAGTAGTAAATTTTCTACCTCAAGAGCTGATGTGGGTATAGACATCAGTCTCACTAGCCATACCACACAGTTACACGTTTCCTCCGTGTCGGCCGTGTTTTTGTTCGTCACGGTGTTTGAGCTCAGAGTAGACACTGGACCACATAACACATAATGGTCTTCACCTTCACAGAAGTTCTTTCAACAGACCTCTCCAAGTTGAACCTTCCATGCCGACATCTTGTTCTCTTGGTAGGTTAACCTACATTGGTACTGCTAAAGTAGATTTGGATTTCAAACTCGATACAAGGTGCCACAAGAATGAATTAAGGGGTATCAGGGAACCGTGTTGTTATATGGAATTCTGTATAGTGATCTGAGGAACAGAGAAGAGGACAGGAAACAAAAGTTAGTTTAAGATAGAATAAAGGGTTGGGCTACTAAATGTTGTCTGAGGGTTAAAAAGCTACGTTGGAGATTAGAAAACAAGATGTCAGGTACGTGTGTTAATTTTCACTTCTTTATGTATTTAAGAGTCCAGTCAGAGTGAAAAGTACATTAAAATCGACATAGCGCCTCAAAAGGAGATGGTTATTATGATTTTTCTTCACCCTAGTCTGGCGCTTCTGCTTATGGTATATAGTTTCTGGTTTTTCTTGTAGAATTCCATCTGCCTTATATTGTTCTTTAATTACATAAAAGGCAGATCAGAACATAGCACTTCTTTTGATATGGGTTTCACTCCAATTTAAGCTTTCAGAAATCAGCTCTGTACTTAAAGCCGCCATTTTGAACAGCCCTCGTCATCTAGTACAAGCCTTCGTTGTATTTAGAGAGCCGGTGTCTCTGGCTCTTAGATGCTGTTATTTGCTGTTGTACGTGCTGGACATTTGAAGACGTACACTGTCTCATGTGTATCTGAATTAGGACTGGTAGTTTCTAATGAACTCGAAAATGCTCATTATAGATGCAAGGCTCTCACTCCCACTTCCCCTTCCAACTAAATAAATATATTTTAGTGTGTCTCCAGTTATGGAAAGCCTTTAGTACAACCATCGTATATGGACTTTTATCACATTCTTTTACAAATTTTTACAGTCTAAGAATCCTTGGCAAGGGAACTAATGCATGAATTTGCAAAATTAATGTATCACTTTATTATCTAGCATCATACTGTTACCTTGGCCTTTTTTCTTTCAGAATAGTAAATATCCCTTTTACTTATGAACTCATGCTTAGCTTTTTAAAAACCTTTTTTTAAAAACCTGAGATCAGCATTATTCTATTTTACCAAGTTTTTTGCATAAAAATCAGAGCATGTGGAAGATGAGAGAAATTGTTTCCAACTTTGTTTAAATCATAGTGCCTCTTGATATTTTTTTAAAGTTGTACAACAAGAAATCATTTTATATAGTAATAGTGGCCATAAATAATGTCCTTTTGGCAAGAAGTTGCCACTTCTTCAGTCTGGGGCTCAGGAGACCATATGTCTCTGTATATTTGAGTACATCCAGAATGCAGTTTCCCAGCTCACGAGGGACTGAAAATAATTGTCCCATTCATCAACCCATCGGGACACAGAGGGTTAAGTCTAGATTTGGTTGTGTTGAGATAACAGAATATAGAATTAATAACTGGCCTTCAGCAGGAAAGTCTACACTGAAGCAAATGCAAAGAAGTGCGTGGGGGGAGAGAGACAGACATCATTAGTCTTTGCTTTTGTTTTTCAAGCATAATTTGATTTTCCTTTGGCTCAGAAAACTTTAGGGAAATTCTCTTTCCTTTGTGTTCAGTTTAGCCTAGAAACATCCTTTTAAAAACCAACAGTTTAGGAAAGTTCTTTTCTCAGTCTTGAATATATTAAAACATATCCAGACTTCAATGTGCATTGTCATTTTTCTTCATTATTTTGCTTTCTATTTTGGTTTATCGCTACTTCCTGTCCAATTTCAAACTCCAGTACTTAACCGTCTTTATCCACAGGTTTTTGGTAAGCCACGCCACTGCTGCTTTTTGATTTAAGGATATGTAAGCCAAAATTTGGATGGGAGGGAGACATAACTGATTTATATCAATTTGTAACAGGAGTTGTATGTGAGTGTGTTTTTAATAAAATGTGTATTTATTCCGTATTTTCCTCAGCATTTTGTGGGCAAAGTAAAAATAACAATGTATAGTGAAAGGACATGTATTCCCAGCGCATTGTATTTCCAACACGTTGGTAAATATAATTTAAAACGAAGAGAATATTTAATGTGTTTTTGTTGTGCAGAATAAATGATTAAAGCCGAACTGCTCTTCCAAACCCCTGCTTTTGCGTTTGACATGCGTGATAAACCCACTTTCTGAGGCCTTAGCATGATTTTCTTTGGGTTATTTTTCCCTTACTGCTTTTTATTTTGTACATGTGTCCTTAAGGAGGGGGAGAAAAAAAGACTATTCTCCTTCTGAAAACACTCATTTGTTGACATGTAATGAATATGTGGTAAGCACAATGCTTGGAACATCTTAACAGAGATTAATTTCCTGCTGCCCCTGACTCATACCATCTTCTTTTTTCTTTTTTTTTTTTTTTTTATTCCTTCAGCGTCAAAGTTGAAAGTAAATTATCGTTTTGACACATCTAGAATTTACTGTAATCTCTTAGGTTTCATTATTTAATTAGTTTACTAATTGGCTCACTTTGATGATTTTGTTATTTTGGTTTCTGCTTGAAAACGTAGAACCAATCCCTTTTTTTAACAAGGCGTAAGACGGGTTATTTTTCAAAATGTTTTGATGTCAGAATAAAGACTCTGGTAGAATAATTAACCCTTTCTTAGGAGTAGTGCTATAACTCACATTTACTGAGCTCTTGTGCCTTATCCCCTTTAATCTTCATGACAAAGACCTAAAGGTAATATCACGGAAAAGCCTCTCGCTGTGGTTGAAACTGAGTGACAGAGAGGTTAAGTCATTGGCCCAGGGTCACTCAGTAGTAGATGACGGAACCATATTTGAACCCAAGCAGTCTGACCCCAGAGCCCATGATGAAACACTGCTGACCAGTGGTGGGGGGAGAGGGGTTTACGTCCACCTTCAAATACCTAATTACGGATATGTCACAGAAAAAGCAAATTGGTTTGTTTTCACGCCTCTCTTAGTTAACAATGTCAAAAGCAAGTATGCACAATTTAGAACTCGGCCAAAGAGAATACCCGAGTACCCTGGGTGGCTCAGTGAGTAGAGTGTACAAGTCTTGATCTCAGGGTCGTGAGTTCAAGCCCCACACTGGGCGCAGAGATTACTCGTAAAATAAAAAAGAGCTGGATGTCATCTAGTAGCATATGCCACCTGGGGGGTCATCTGATTTCCAGGGCTCCCGACCTCTTACTATTTTGCAACTTTATGAGAATAGAGGTTAACGTGTAGAAGCCCTGACAGCAATACAAATGATTCTTGTTCAGTAGCATTGCAAGGTATTACCTAGCGACACATGAACCAGTTCTGCATTTATTAGCAAATTTATTTCTGCATTCATTTGACCAGCTACAAATCTCTGGGTCTTTCATTTTCTTTTAAATCAGTCCTAACATCTTACTGGTTTCCTCACTAATTGAATCTAACAAAATCTTTGACTAATGGTTCTTGTTTTGTTTTGTTTTGTTTGTTTTCTATTTGTATGAGAGTCACGTTTCTAACTTTCTGAAAAAATTATGTTTTGCAAGTAGTGTTGCCAACATGAGCTCCCATGTGATGAAAAAACTGAATTTCCAGCCTCATTCAACCTAAAATTAAACCTCGTAAACTAGAAGATGGATACTATACATAGGCATATATATACATATATATTTAAGAACTGTACTTTGATACTAAGATGTTAATATTACAAACTATCAATCAAATATTTAAGAACGATAGACTCATTTTAAGATGCTGGCTCAGTAGACCCCTGTTTCTCTGTTTGCAAAAATGCAACTGAATATTTAATCCCAGGTCTGATTCTGTGTAGCCACTGACTATGAGTGTTAAGGAGACTGATCCAAGAATGAGAAAGAAGAGGAATTTTAGATATTCCCAAGGATCCACTTGCCTGACAAAAATATTTCTACATCAGAAGAACACTGACTGCTCCCCAGGGGCCTGGGAGTCAGGTAAACAAAATCAACTTGTGCTTTCAACCAAGAGTTTCCCAGGATTCATGAAAATAGTAAATAGACCATGTCTAATGAAGATAATGATATTTGGGGACCCTTTTCCAACAGAATTTGATGTCGGTGCAAGCATGCCTTTCACTGAGAGATTTGCTTTTCTGTGCATCTTTGTTTCTGGGAAGGGCGACGCCCAGCAGAAGCGTAGGGAAGCAGATAGTTTAATAGACTAAGGGAAACATGACTGGGCAGGTTTGTTTTCGGCATAAGGCATTTACTGCAGAGGGCAGAGGGCTGTCTCTGGGCTTGATGCTGCAAAAGCCCATGCCATCAAGGGACATTCAGCTTTATGGTGAAGAGAAGCCAAAGAACATGAGCAAGTAAAATAATTAAAATGCCACAAGAGAGGTAGAAGTGTTCCGGAGGTCAGAGGAAGACCTCATATCCAGCTTAGGGATCCAGAATGGCCTCAGAGAGGAGGTAGAGCTCAAGATGAGTCTTGCAGCACAGCTACAATTTCATCAGACAGACGCGGGTGGTGTGCACAAATCCACGTCCAGAGCATTAGCAAAGAAACCGGGAGGAAAATGGTGGTGTTTAAAGAAGGAGTCGACAACAGCAGATTTGGGGCAATTCGCTGGGGCCATATCTTAGCGATCTCTTCCGTGCTAGGCTTGAGGAGTTTGTTCACATTTCAGCAGGAAAATGAATGAGTAAGGGAAGGGCGTGATCAAGAAGTCTGTTTGACAACTGTTGTCTGGCAGTAGTGAGTTTGGAATGGAAATATTAGTTGAGCGCTTACAATGTACTGGATATTTTATGTACCTTACCCTATTATGTCCTCATACCCTGAAGTAGGGCTCTTCCCTGCTTTGCTGATGAGGCAGCTAAGACTGAAAGAGTAAAAAATTAAAGTCACAATGGGGGCAAATGGCAGAGATGGGACAGAAACTCCAAAGCCGACTGATTTTCTGCAGCACCTTGCTACCTAGAAGGAAGGACTGGAGATGGAAGGACCATTCTGGAAGCTGTGGCAACAACCCAAGCCTTAGAGAATGACAGCCAGAACTAAGATCAGAGTTTTGGAAATGGAAAGAAGGCCAGATATTGAAGAGGAATGTGGCAAAGAACATCAATGCCAAGGCGGAGTCTAAATTATTATTTAGGGTTTCAGCCGAGGCTCAGAAAATGATGATGCTGCAAACAGAAAGGCCCTGATCATTTTGTAAGGAAAGTGAGGTTCGGTTTTGAACAAGCTGATTTTGAAATAACCAATAGTGGGGCAGACACTCTCAATTCAAGGTATAGCTGGCGTCTGCACTGAACCAGTGGGGTCCCTGGGTGGCTGTCGGTTAATCATCCAACTCATGATTTCCGCTTAGGTCTTGAGATCGAGCCCCATGCCAGGCTTTGCACTTGGCGGGAAGTCTGCTTGAGATTCTCTCTCTCTCTCTCCCTCTGCCCGTCCCCACCCTGCACTCATGCTCTCTCTCTCGAAAATAAATCAATCTTAAAAAAAAAAAGTGAGAACCGAGGACATCAGATAAATGATTAACAGAAAAAATATGAAACAGAACATCAGAAAATGCCCAAATCTAGGAGGTGAGAACAAAGAGGAGGCAGACTCTGAGGAGATCCTGAATCTCTCACAGCCACCAGAATCAAAGGCAGCCAGGAATTTCCCAGGAGTGGCCCACAGGGTTAGGAGCTGAGCCTGGGCCATGTCGGTAGGCTCGGACTGGGACAGGGATGACACCACAGAGCGCCCTGGTGGTGCTGGGCGGCACTTCCAGGGAGCCTGCGGGCACACACCAGGTGGGGGTGGGAGGAGGCCGGGGCACGGTGGGGCTGGAGAAGAAGAACAGGCGAGCAGCACTCCGAAGGTGATCTTGCATGTGGGTGATCAGAAGGAAGGAGCAGAGCCGAAGAAGATGCTAGAGAGAGCAGATCATTAATGGAACCAAAACCCACTGTTGGGGGTCCCCGGGGTGGAGGAAGGGAGACAAGAGTGATTTTGCTTTTCTTCCTTTCACACCCACAGCAAAACCCATTTTTGTACCATTTTTGTATTGATTTGCCTCTTCTTAAAAACCAACATTTATAGCACCGTGTACCCCCCGCTTGGAAGGGACCGGCAAGCCACAAGTAGTAACAATAAGCCCTTTTCCGAAATGTTCTATTTTAGCAACACAGTACTGCTGTTTGGCAGTGAGGTCGCCTGGTGTTTAAGCTGGCAGGGGGCGTGGCCTAGAACCCCCTCCATCTGTAACCTGGCTATAGACTTGTATTATTATTTAAAGCATCCTTTGCACAGATTTATGAACCCCAAGTATGTGCCTGCACATGTGGTCTGAAAACACAGTCGGCGATCGGCAGCCCTCACCAGCCAACGCGGAGACTTGGTAAGGATTTTTATTTTGGTCGCACTGAGCTTACTGTAACTGGGGCGGCCGAGTTGCTATGGTGATTTCTTCCCCAAACAGAGCACTTTGCCACAATACATTGAGACAGCAGATAAATCTACTTTATGTTGACTCGATCATGACATGAATTCACATCGAAACATGCCCCATGCGCCCATCAGGACTTGGGTGTAGGAATCTTCAGTCGGGGCCAAGGAGGTATTGACTACAAGAACCGAAACTTGGGCCCTTTGAACCGGGGGCCTTCACAACGCAGGCCTATGGAAGCGGGCTGGCTGGCTCCAGGCCCAGACTCCGACCTCGGGGGCGGGCTGCAGCTGGGAGAAGGTTCATCACTGAAGCAATTCCCTGTTTAAGTACTCTAGTGTGGGCATAGGCTGAAAGTTGTGACTCACGCCCAGCTCTGTCACTAATTGGGGGTGCAGGTTGGTCGGGTGGGGGGGAGATGTTGGGCAGGATGCACAGAAAACTCAGCGGTTTCTTCCCATCCCTCTTGCAAATCTACAAGCTGCTAAGATCTGGCCTTGTAGTGTGGGAAATAAGGCAGGCCCCTTCCACTCCGGGCGGGGGCGCTCCTGGTCTCCACCAGCAGGGGTCCCCATTGAGTCACAGGTCCTAAACAGAGCTCCGCGGGAGTCGCTGGACACTTTAAGGATGACTGCACTTTGAATGGGGGTGTATCTGCCTCTGATTCTTGCCTAACCATGACAGGAGAGGGAAGAAAAGTAGCTGCCTGTTTCCAGCATGACTCA